ATGCATTGGTAACTTTGTAGAATATCACTTGTAGTGTAGTTTTTTGATTCATGTACCGCTCTACACCTACATTTCCATGTCAGAACTATGTTTTCGGCTAGTGCAATCATGAGTTTGTCACGATTGACTGTGGTGTCTTGCGGTAGTAAGTTTAGGAAAATGGCCGTGTATATGTCGGTGGATTATTTGGTAAGAGTATCTGTTACATCTTGTAAAGTGTGTAGTTGCTTTGGATTGTTTGACAGCGGAAGAAGTTTAATTTCAGTGAGACATAATAATGTATCAAGGGGTACTTTTCTTGATGTTGCATGGCCTGTCCTGCAAATTGAATTCTAAATGATTTAGTTTTTGTGCTGATATCTTGCAGTGAAATGCCTCCCTGTTCTGTAGGTTGCATAAGTAAGTTGTCTGATTTTTTGGGAGGGTGGAGCCAGCAATGAATTTCCTGATGACTCTATTTATTTGCCTAGTTATTTCACCTAGGGGCTCCAGTGTTTAAGCCAGATATAAAATTTTTGGAATTATGTATATGTTAACTATCTGGCTTCTTGTAAAAATAGTTGAAGTCAGATATTTGTATTTGTTTATTTTATACGCGATCTGTTTTCCCATGTCTGTCAAGGAGCAGCGATTAATGTAGTTTGGGTTCCTAGCAAATGTGATGCCGTACAGTTTTATGGCGTGTGTTGTTAGTAAGTTTAGGGGGAAATCTGTTTTGTATTTCCATGTCCATATTCCCATAATCTGAGATTTTGCAATAATAATTTTCGCACCTTTTTCTTAGCCGTATTCTGCAAAAGTGTTTAGTATTTCTATTGTTGATTTCGTGTTGAAAGGGAAAAACGCGGTGTCATCTGCATATGCCATCAGCTTCCGTTATCCTAGTTTAGGTATGAAGGTACCTGTAATGCGGTTATCCCTTCTGATCTTTTCTAATACAGGTTCTAGTGCTAGAACGTATAACAGTAGAGACAGGAGACATCCCTGTCTTACCGACCGTGTGAGTTGAAAGGGTACAGTGAGGCTGGGATTAACTAATACCTGACTTTCCAGTTTGCAAAAAAAAAAAAAAAATGATTCAAATCAATCTGTGAAAAGTTGGGCCCAAATTACATTTTCATAGCAGCTCATGTAAGAAGGCGTGGAAAATTCTATCAAATGCTTTCTCTTGATCTAGAGACCGGATAGAGAATTCCCAGTCCTTCTGATGTGTGACAGTAATTAGGTCCCTAATGAAGTGTGTTTGGTTGTGCATATTTCTATTTCTCACACTACACTGCTGATCTGTGTTTATCAATGTTTCCATGAAAGGTTGGAGTTTCATGGTCAATGTTTTGGCTAGAATCTTGTAATGGGTGTTTAATAAAGAAATGGGCCGATAGTTCATCAGTAGTGTTTTATCTGAGTTATCCTAGGGACTTACTGTTAAATAAGATAGATTGATGCTGTCAGGTAGCTGTTGCTGTTCGTAAGCTGCATGGTATACTTTTAATAATGTGCTTTCCATGAATGGGAAAAAGGTTCTGTAGAAGTCAACAGTAAGTCCATCGGGGCCTGGTGATTTGTCTGCCTGCATTTTGTTTAGTGTTTGTGTGACATCATGTAGAGTGATTGGGGTGTCTAATAACTCTTTGTCACTGTCTGATATCTTCTTTGTATATTATAAAAACTATTCTTGTATGTCTGCTTTAGATGGCTCTGGCTCTGTCTTGAAAAGTTTTGTATAGTACTGCTCAAAAGCGTGAGTTATCTGTGCCGTGTCGGTCTGTGCATTGCCGTGTATGTCTATTATTTGATGTATTTGTCTGCTCTGATGCACATTGCGTTCCAGTTGTATGTCTTGTTCACTGGGTATTTTTTGCTGTGTTGTGTATATTTTTTATTTCAGGAGTGCTCCCTGGTAATTTTATTGCTGTAGTTCCTCTAATTGTGTTTTTAGTGTGAGTATGTGTGGTGCGCCTTTGTCTGTTTCTTGTATTGCTGTTTGCAAGATGTTCTCCTGTTTCATTCTTTGTCTGTCAATAAAGGACGCGATTATCTGTGTTCTGTATTTTATCGAGCTTTTCAGGTTGTCCCAATACAGTAGTATTTTGCTCGGTTGGGATGCAGTTGATGTGTGTAAGTATGTGACCTGTCATATATTGGACATACTCTGTATCCTGATGCAGTGTGTTGTTAAATTTCCAGTGTGGTGTTTTCTTGCGAGCATGCGTGTTTGTGTAGTTTGAGTTTATCTTGTTAGTGCCTTATGGTCTGTGTACTGTAGTGCTTCGTGTAAGTATATCGTTTCAATTACACTGCATGTTGCTGGTGTGTATGTTTTATATAGTTTAGTAAGTCTGTATACTATTTACTTGTATGTGGGATTTCTCTGCCATTGGGGTATTTATGTCTGTAAGAATCTACTCAATTATGGGTAGGTAATATGTTGTGTAGTATGTCCAGTTGGTAAACCCCTTCTTCGTTCGTCTTCCATAATTGGACTTCAGCCTTGCTTCCGATTACATTTTCTTGACTTAACAAACAATAAAAGTCGCTTGCCAGGATTACATTTTCCCCAGTGCACGTTCCTAATATTATATCTTCTAGTTTATCGCAGAATGCAGCATGGGGTTTATATTTCGAAAAATTGCATCCCACAAGGGGATGACTAGATAATTTGCTTGTCTGTCTCTCTCTCTGCTTATAACCCACCAGGACATCCCACAAGCTATAAACACCCGATGACACAAAGTGCCATCATGTGGATGAGGATCACCCGTGGAGAGGTCCAAGAAACCGCGTTCAGCCATTAGACCCTATTTATGACCGGGCTAATTTAACTAATTCATTTACCCCCATTGATTGCTGTCAAGTATATGTCTGTCCCAACATTTAGTCATTTTAAACCATTATATTCCACTCATTAGAGTAATCAATGCATAGGATAGAAAGACAGTTTGTGAAGGAGTCATAAAAGGCAATGCAAGGCGTCACACTGATATAATAACCTAACCTTCGACTAGAAGTCAACGTACGGAAACTATTTTCCATACGACCTACCTACATGAAACGTTTGCTAACAGAGTTTGGCTAAACTCCTTTCATTCGCATGAGGGATGCAGTTTTTCGTTAATTTGAATCCCCATCCTGGCTCTTGCCACTGACCGCAATATAGCCCGGCCATAAATATGGCCTAATGGCTGAACGCAGTTTCCGGGACCTCTCCACATGTGATCCTCCTCCACATGGTAGAACTATGTGTCATCGGGTGTTTATCGCTTGGGTGATGTCCTATTTGGATAAAATGTACTATTAATTTTGCTGAACTTCAATGTATGCAAACTCACATCTACTATATGGTACAGAAACCTGGTCAACAAAGATCCAATTATAAAGTTGACTCGAGGTTCTGGTGATGTTGTCAATAACATGTCCTTTTCAATGGCAACAGAAACAACAAGGAGCGTTGACAGAACAATAAAATAACAGGCAGAGGCCCTCATACCACTCCCACCAAGAAGTAGATACCGGAGAAGAAGAAGAAGAAGAAGAAGAAGAAGAAGAAGAAGAAGAAGAAGAAGAAGAAGAAGAAGAAGAAGAAGAAGAAGAAGAAGAAGAAGAAGAAGAAGAAGAAGAAGAAGAAGACGAATAATAAAAAGAAGATGGTGACAAAGAAGAAGAAGAAGAAGAAGAAGAAGAAGAAGAAGAAGAAGAAAAAGAAGAAGAAGAAGAAGAAGAAGAAGAACAAGAAGAAGAACAAGAACAAAAAGAGGAGGAAGAAGAAGAAGAAGTTAAGAGGAAGAGGAATAATAATAAAAAGAAGAGAAAGAAAAAGACGAAGGCAAAGAAGATAATGATGATGATGATTATGAAGAAGATGGTGATGATGAAGAAGAAGACGAAGCGGAATGAGAAGATTAGTAAAAAGAGAAACAACAACAACAAAAACAACAACACACATGTGTAGAAACTGTGAAATAGCAGAATGGAGTTCACATAACACTTGTGAATTCTCCTGTTGAAGGCTTTTCGTACCCAGCCACTCACTACGCATCTATAGATAACTGCCAGTACGATATACCAGACTTAACTCCTTGTGTCTGGCCAAGGGGCTACATCAACTCCCTATGTGCCAAGTTTTACTGAAAGCCTTGCTATTTAATATATTTTTTTTTTTTGGGATGAGTCTACACTTATCTGTATTAGTTTCAAGTGTCAGCTCTTGAAAAGATTGCCCAGATTAGAAGTTCATGGTGAAAAAGACTGCTAGTTCTAGATGACGATTGCAAGAAACAATGAAATAATGTTTGTGGTGATGCAGAAAGATGATGATAATGATACATGACAACTAAAGTAAAGGATAGGTCGTTGCACGGCAGTGACGCGTCGAGTATCATCGTCATCCCCATCAAGTGCCTTGCCAGCCGGCGTAGGCGTTCATGCATCTTCACAGATGTTGGTCTTTGTTGTTCTGGATCAATTCCACTGATGGAATTCCCCCATGCCACTGTCCTAAACCATCAACCATAATTCCTCTCGTTCTACTTCTGCCTTTTCTGCCAGTGATCTTTCCAGTCGGGTATAGGAGGTTAGATTCATACACTCAGAGACTAACCAGCCCTTCTAGATGAGTGATGTGGCCAACATCACGCTAATCGCCTTTACTTCCCAGAACTGGACTTGGTATCCATTTAAGTTTGGGTCTACCTGGAAGCCAATGTCATGTCTGATGATAAATGCGGCACCATGCAGATTTGAACTTATTACCTTCGGATCCATGAGAGAGCGTCTAGCCGCTACATCACAGCGGCTCTAATAAGGGACAACTGCTTCCGATACTTCTCGGGGAGGGCTCGGGTGTTGGATTGGGGGGGGGGGGGGGGGGACGTAGATTTTGCAGTCTCAGTGTGGTTTCTATTTCCCTTCTGCCACCATCAGCGATTACGTGGTCAAGTTATGAGAAGTGTACATCTGTTTACTATGATGTCCTAACATCTGCTAATTTCTACAACTTCCAGACAGAGGCAGCGTTGATGTTTGACTTTAAAAAGCACGCAGACTACCGCCTACAAGTACTTCAGACAGAGATGAGCAGTATGGCTAAGTTGGACGTTTGTGCTAAAATTTTAGCCAATCCGATATCATTTTGGCGGAGTCAGCTGACGTCAACAAATTTCACAGCTGAAGTGGATTTGCAACGTTTGTCATTGGCTAATAAGTGCGTAATAATAATAATAATAATAACTATAATAGTAATCATCAGCATCATCAACATAGATTCTAGATTTTCGTCATAGAGAGGATTGACAGTTGGTTCTCCAAGCTCGATAGGAACCACTGACTATTGCCATTTCGGGTGACTGAACAATAATTTTAATGTCGTTAACTCATTTTTCTCTCGCACACACTTATACTCTGATATCTGTTGGTCATGGATATAACACGAGTAGAGGAGAGGGTCAAAACGTCAGTGCAAACATCAGACATCATTGCATCTACCACATTGGGTCGAGAGTGCAGGAATGAATCAGCGGGCACTGCGAAATCTGAAATTTAAGAGCTTATTCATGACAACACCAGTGCAGGTGGTACGATTATCTGTACAGAGGACGCCGTATAATTAACATAAGGGGAGGTACGACGCCTGAGGACAGGTTAAATCATCCAAACTCACTATTTGTTTCAAAATTGTGGAATTTTTTTGTACTATATAAAAGTCTTTTTTGCAAAATTCAATCTGAAAGTAATTTTAAGTAATTTTTTACAATGGCATGGTAACTATTTATTTAAATAAACAGGCAAAATATTCAAGCTGTCATAACTCAGTTATTTATGAACCTTTTTAAAAATTATTTCACCCATTTGTTAGATAAAGGTTTATAATTAAAACCAGCTTGGTCGGTTACTTTTTAATGATTTTCTCAAATCTTTTTTTCTTACCACACTGCATACAATATCTAAAAACAAATTACTAACATATGTCTTCATATTTGGCACACACACAGGAAATTATTAATGAATCGGACTGAGCTAACATAAATACAAGAGCCTGACAACTTTTTTGCATTGGTATAAAATATGGTAACCCTTACCCCTATTTGGGAGGGGGGGGGGGGGTAGGAGGGGGGGAATCGTACTGTACCATATAAATTAATATAATTTTTAAATCTTTGCTTTAAGTCAATAGTATTTAGCACAATCAATTTGAAATATAATGCTGAATATGTGTGAACATTTTCATCTAACCATCTTAATTAGTTTTTGAAATATATTAGCAAATGTTGAGTATAAATTAATATAATTTTTAAACCTTTGCTTTAAGTCAATAGTATTTAGCACAATCAATTTGAAATATAATGCTGAATATGTGTGAACATTTTCATCAAACCATCTTAATTAGTTTTTGTAATATATTAGCAAATGTTGAGTACAAATTTGGCTATTTTCCGCATAAAATATGACTTTTCTTTCAATATCCGTGAAAAAATATGTTGATTATAGGCCCCAAAATTAATTTTCTTTCAATTTTTAACTAGGATGTACCTACAGAAAGCATTGTTTCCAAAAGATTTAATCAACTTCAATCCGGGGGTTTAACCTTAAACAAAACTTGGCACACAATAACACATCCTCTCGTTTGAGAACGGAGATGGAGGCATTCATTGCAGTTTTCTGCTTGTTTAAGACTTAACAGGACACACATGCCATGACTGAAAAGCATAATGAGAAAGGTGGAGATAGGCAGGCTCCATGGAGAGTGCCAAGCATTACTTCAGTCGTCCACAATAGGTAACATCCTTTCATTCTCTTTTTTCTTTAGGGTGGGTAAGTGTTCTGGGAAAAGAACAGGCACACAGATCTGCTGTTTCTGCATCACATGGTGCTGAAATAATGCATAACAAGCTAACGGTGAAGAAAATTCATTGGGTGTCGTTAAACAATACTGGAGCACGATTAGATTGTCAGCGGAGACTGGTACAGAGGAAAGTAACCTGACCCACACATACGATTTAAAGGAAATCTTGAAAACAATAGAATAGAAAGCAAGTCCTGCTAGTACTCAACTTAGGGTATTAAAACCAAAGGTAAAATCATCATTACTCAAGGGAGCAGAAGTATGATAATCGAAATAAAGCAATTTTAATAGAATACGAATATGCGTTTCTTGGTGCATGGTAAGAAAGCGAAGACTTAAATTCTATGATAAAATTCATTACCGAAAATCTTCAGGGGAGAATCAATAAATTCAGTCAGTCAGCAGGGGAGGAAAAGATGATGATGCACAAGATATGTCATTCTTTGTAAAACCCAATTAAATTGTAACTAGAATTACTTTGGACTTGAACACAAAGGGCAAAATAAATAAAGAGACAAAAGCTTTGGGAGGATAAAATTAAAGAGAGATGAATACGACGAAAAGACATGGTGTGAGCTTACAAGATGGCAAATGATAAGTCGACTTGGCGGGATTTGGTTGAGGCCTATACTTCTGTAGGGTGTAGGACATAAGAAAGCAGAAGTAGATAAATGATCGCAATTTTCCGTCTTTCCAGACAAAAGTTTTGTATTGGCTGGCAGGTATGGGACTCACAGCCCATGATGATGGCGAGTGTGACAAGCAAAACTCGTTCGTTTAAAAAAAGTTTCCAAGTCCAGCTAAGGCCAGTGATAAAGTTCCCCTCTCTCCATAGCACAAAGCCTAGGTAGTGCTGTAGAGACCATATGTTGTCAATGTATTATGATCTCTATCTCGACCAGGCTTGCCCCCCCCCCCCCCCCAATCCTCAATCTCCAAAGAAAGGTTAACACCATTAGGTTTAGAACAAAGGCTGCAGAAGCTTCCGAATCAGAAAAGCAGTGCTCTATCTGTCCTCCTGTCAGAGCTTCCATTCTATGCTTAGGGCATGGTCTGTCCTGCCATAACGTAACGGTTTTATTTTAGACTGCATTTTATATTTCTAGGATAAGGCTGGTATCCTTCCGCGGATGCGCTCCTCCCTTCGAAGGCGTTGGCACAAAGTGGGATATCAAGTTTGGTATACGGGTATACGCCGCCCACCATTCAGCCTTAACAGAAGAGAGATAGTATCGGTTATTGTTAAACGGTAGCTCATTTACATATGACCAAGACAAATGATCAGTAAAGTGCAGGAAGGGACCTTTATCAAGCCAGTAGCGCATTTGGCCTATGATGCTTAACCCCTAATTTTATAGACCAATCAGTAGCACATAGAAGATGTGATCAATATTACTGGCGGCCACCTTTACTTCCAGTGACAATTCATGATACCTATTTTAGGTTCGAGACATTTTCTTCGACTGACAAGTGTGTAAAGTAAACCAGTGAAGGTGACAAAGTAATTGAGACAATTCCCGTAACTCATTGGTGCTAGTTATACATGGGTTTTGTCCCTTCTTCGTTTTTTTTTTCAGTTCAGTGTTTTAGAGATGCCATTTGGATAACATATTTACTAGGTTTCCTATTTCATCCACATCTTTACACGAAGTTGCCCACTGATTCCGTTTCCTGATTTCATCAAAACGCCACCGGTGCCAACTCTGTACGATTTTGAAGCATCTTACCTGGAGGACCCACCTGTTACTGATATTTTGAACACATCTCATGCAAGCAGATCCAGCGTAGTTCTTGTCAACAGCAGGTATGTTATGCTTGAACATTGTGTGATCTATTTGATTACTGCTGTAGCTCTATTCTTGTCAGGTGGCTAAATAAAACACACTTGTCAGGTGGCTAAATAAAACACACTTGTCAGGTGGCTAAATAAAACACACTTGTCAGGTGGCTAAATAAAACACACTTGTCAGGTGGCTAAATAAAACACACTTGTCAGGTGGCTAAATAAAACACACTTGTCAGGTGGCTAAATATAACACACTTGTCAGGTGGCTAAATAAAACACACTTTTCAGGTGGCTAAATAAAACACACTTGTCAGGTGGCTAAATAAAACACACTTGTAAGGTGGCTAAATAAAACACACTTGTCAGGTGGCTAAATAAAACACACTTGTCAGGTGGCTAAATAAAACACACTTGTCAGGTGGCTAAATAAAACACACTTGTCAGGTGGCTAAATAAAACACAATATACTAACAACAATGTAGTTACAGCTGTAATAGTTTTGTCCTGATACCCGCCAAGAATACCTTTGTGCCAATTGCCATGGTAAGTGAGCCACGGTGAAGAAATATAACGAACAAAAGCACGGGGGAGATCAGGCAGAAGAATAACCGTTGGCATCAAGAAAAAAAAAATAATCTTAAGAAAAACTGCAAATTAGAAAGACTATACATGTGATTCTTAAATCCTTCTCGAATAGGTCGATGGGGAAAACTAGTGTAAGTGTAGAGTGTAGAAGTAGAAGAAGAAGAAGAAGAAGAAGAAGAAGAAGAAGAAGAAGAAGAAGAACAACAACAACAACAACAACAACAACAACAACAAGATGAAAAAGGAGAAAACAAAAGAAGCAGAGGAAGAAGAAAGAAGAAACACTTCTTTTTGAGCTATAATTTGATCTATTCGTCTAGCAGCATATTTAGTTACTTGACTGCTCTAGTAAATGCCAAATGACAAATAAAGTGCTATACACGAATTTGGGGATTTCTTTAAATCTTATAAATTGACCAGCCTGCTATAGCAGCAAGTGAAAGGAATTAGGCCAGACCAGAACGCTAGGTAACGTGTATACAAAGGTTGTAAACCACACATAACTGGTGTCATCAGTCGCTACAAGAGTTTAGGTATACATTCAGAATATGATCAACTAATGTCCAGTTTCATCCTTTTAAGGACGACATTTTTTTGTTAGTTGAAGCCCCACCCTGGCTTTTGCCAGGGACCGCAATATAGGCGATAAATATGGGCGATTGTCTGAACGCGGTTTCTGGGATCTCTCCACGGCGATCCTCATCCATATGGTGGCACTTTGTGTCATCGGGTGTTTATCGCTTGTGTGATGTCCTAGTGGAGTAGAAAGTCAGGCAATCAGTCAGAATATGATCCAAGTCCTTGTGAAATGCGTGTTTCATGTGCAGTGAGAATGATCTGTTAATTAGGTGTCCCTAATGCGTCCAGGCTACACCATAAAGGAGCAGAACATGCTCTATCCTATTGACCATGACGAAGATGGCGAATAAACACGTAACTTTGTGGTGGACAATCGAAGACTGGACAAAACACGTTCCTTTTACCAGTCTTA